AGATGTCAGGCTGTTCCTGAGCTGCCGCAGACTACCAAGGGTTGGGATGTGTACATTGTCATACTTCTGATGCTAAATGCTGAGGTCATGTAACTCAAGGTTTGCATGTTATGCTGTCATCAGAGGCTACATCTTTTATTAGTTAACACATATCACCTTTTTCCATCACGGTTTTTTATTTTGTAAGCACTAACGCATTTATTTTACTGCCAAAGAATTGTGTTTCTTGTTATTATTTTTAAGTTCTTTCATTCGTCTGTGTCAGAAGCCATGGCTGAAAACTGCGAGATGCCTGATTTCAGGAAGAATCCCCAAGGTACAAAAGGGGAGGACACACTTGTGGTGTCAGGAAAAAGCTGTTTAGTTAGAGTCTTATCTTGGTGCCCTGCTGCCCTTTTTAAACAAATGTATTGGATTTTTGCACTTTATTGCTGCTTCATAGCCCAATCTCTGAAATAGACTTCTCTAATTTTGTGTGTGTAAGAGAGAGTTTACTTAACAAATGATCCCATATTGCCTTTAACAGGGAAGGTTGTTAACCTGGATTACTGTACACAAATAGAACATCACATGTGAACCACTCACAGCTCCCTAGCTCTTAACATCCTTTTTTCCCCGCCTCTCCTTCCAGCAGTTTCATGAATCATGAGCTGGGCTGTGAGCACACAGTGGTGAATAAAACTCAGCATGCTCACTGTAAGTTGTGTGCATTCCTGAAATGTGCCACTCTGATGGAACAGGACTGTCCTGGGGAAGCAACGGGCACAGATTTTCCCCAGTGGAAATATCACTTGTAAAGTATCTAATTTAATTGTATTGCCAAGTTCACCAATTGAAGCTGCCAGCTGTTGCCCTTTAGTCCAGTAGATTTTTGGTCGTCTTCTATTTATTACCATAATTGTATGATTAATAGAGACAGTGGCTTTTATCAGAAACATCCATCCGTTGCAGAGCCACAAACAGATCATTAGTTGAGATGTCAAAAATAGTAGATAGGTTCAAAAAGGAAGGCTAAAGTGCTAGCATCCCAGATGTGGGAAGATTGTCTCTCTGTGTCCCACGCCCAGGAGAAGAATCATGTGTAACTTTAAAATCATCATCTAAAAACATTAAGATAAAAACATTATCACAGCTGGGCCTGGTGGTGCACACCTGTAATCCCAGGAGCTTGGAGGCTGAGGCAGGAGAATTGAGAGTTCAAAGTCAGCATGAACAAGTTAGTAAGGCCCTAAGCAACTTATCAAGACTCTGTTTCTAGATAAAATATAAATAGGGCTGGGATGTGGCTCAGTGGTTAAATGCCCCTGGGTTCAATCCCCAGTACCAAAAAACCAAAACACAAATAACAACAACATCAAAAAACACATTATCAGCAGTTATAACTAAAATCACCCATTTAGTCCACAAGGCTAGGTAAATAATGATGCAGAATTGTATTCTGGAGTTGTTTTCAGCCCTTCTTCCTTAAGTCTTCTTTCACTGTTCCTGTGCCCATGTGTTCTGCATTTCCGTCGTAGCCAGGGTCTGTTCCCAAGGCCTTGATCTCTTGACTTCTGACATCTTGCTTTGGTTCATATCTTAAATGAGGCACTAACTGTTCCTGAAAGAATCCAGTCTATGGTTTAGGCACTCAAAAAATTTCTTCATGCTTTATGAAGGTGTTCTTGTCTAAGATCCCTTTTCTCAGTATCTGTTTACTTTTCAGTAATCTAGATTTAAAAATACAATCCCTTTACCATTTTCCCCAAATAATTCATTTACCTCTGTCACCTTAATGATGATCTGAAACTCCAAGGAGGAAAGTCACACCTCGTCGGCCAGGCCTTCCATGAACGCCAAGGCTCCCAGCTTCCTTCCTCAGCTCCCAGAACAAGTGCTCTTGCTTACTCATGTGGAATATTTCTACCTTCTCTGACTTTCCCTTTCCTTATTCCAAGTGGGTTGGTTAAGGAATTTTTTTTTTCAGAACAAATACAAAACATTTCCTAAGGAACTGCTTCCTTATACTCATTTTTTGGAAGGATATGTTTCTAGAGATCAGTCTCCCTTCCTCCGAGTTTGACTCAACTCAAACATTTCCTACTTTTTGAGACTGGCTGGGCTAGAGATGATTAAAAGTCAATGGAAATAGAAACTTTCTACTTCATTCCTTTATGGAGAAACTACTAGAAAATTGGCAGTCAATTCAAAGAAAAAATTGAGAGGAAAAAAAACCCACTTTATCAAATCTAGTCATTGAATATAACTAGGTGCTGTGGTCTGACTGTTCAGCAGACATTGAATTGGCTGGCACCTTGATCTTGGACTTTCCAGCCTCCAGAACTATGAGAAATTTCTGTTGTCTGTAAATGACCCAGTTTATGGTATCTTGTTATAGCAGCCTGATCATACCAAGACACATGGCCATAGTTAATACTTGTAGCTTGGCGCTGATCCAAAATATTCTCTCTAGAACACAATGTGTTTATTATGTAGTTGTTCTAATTCCAGAAGAGTTGCCTTAATTTCCAGTTTAGTTGAGTAATTTCAGCACTCAAAGTCATAACAGTCTAGAGCTAAAAATGATGTCTTTTTTAAAAATGGGATTAATCTTGAAGTCATCTAGACAAATGCTGTTAGTCCACAGATGAGGAAACAGGAAATATTGACTTTCCTTAGTCCATACAGCCTATCCCTGGCAGTGTGTGCATATAGCCTCCTTGTGCCATGATTCTCATACCAGTTCTTCTATTTCATGCTGCTTTTCCTTGTCCAGAGATAATAATCCTGGGTGGCAAATATTCTATTTCTCTAAATAGATATGGATATTTCTCCAATGTGAATAGATTATAATTCATACATGTTTTTAAATAGCCAAAATTAGATTGACACAGGGCATATTAAAATGTAGAACATAATAAGTGGTATATAATTAAAACAGGGTGTTTAATAACTTCACCCAACCAGTTAAATAATTCAATGGAGGATGAGGTGGAAAGTCTATCTCTGGAAAAACCTTATTGATGTTCAGCCACTTACTTACTTATGTGACCTTGGACATTTCACTTCTAAACCCAACCTACTTTTCTCACTTGCTGAAAGTGATGCCAGTAACTACCTCACAAGGGTTGGTTCTTCTTTTCAAAAATATGTATGAAAGATCTAGTCCTTCAGTATAGGATTCACTCAAAGGTTAATAGTTTTCCTCCTTCCCTCTCATTTGTTATTGCAATTTTATTTGAATTATAAGCCTAAAATTAGCTCATCTATTTCTTGGATCCCTTTTCAAAATAAAACTGATTTTGCTTTTGCCCCCCTGTGGGAACAGTAGTAAGACTTAAATATGATCTTAGAAACATAGTAACATTTTCTTCTTCTTTCCTTTTTTTCTTTTTTTTATCCTCATTTGTAACAGATCTGCCACATGATCTTGAAGAATAAGGAAAGTCAGGCGATGAATGACTATTTTCCAGAAGACAGGTAAAGCATATTTGGTAGATTAATTCTCAATTCACCTTCTCAGAGGAAAAGGACAAAACCCTCATTTACAAAGATTCTAAGGAGATTTTCAGGCAAGTTCCTCACCAGCCCCACATCAGTCTTTGCTTTGAAGTATCCATTCCCCAGAGCTTGGTTTTCTTGATCAGGTCCCAAACCTTTTATTGAGCTACAAGAAAACTGGAGGAAACAATAGGCTCTTTCCAGAGACATTCACATGCTGGTGGCACTCAGGAGAGGGATGGCATATGTGCTTATCAGAGAATTAATCTTTCTGTCTATCATCCTCTTTTTCTTCAAAAGAAAGAGAGTTAGTGCAATTACCTCATCAAGAACAATTACCTCACCTTAAATTGTTTATCTCCAGAGAAAGGTGATTGGGAACAGAAAGCACTTTGGCAAGAGGTGGATGTTTAAAAAGTACTTGCATCCATATTAAGCGTGGATAGTGAAGAACGGTTGGAAAGGTTGTCTTTCTAAGCCTTCTTTTCTGTTGGGACTGATAGGCAAAAGAGGGGCACATGCTCTGATCAGGTGAGTTCTGCCACCATTTTGAGGGCCACATCCTGTGAGATATATTCAGTGGTCTATGCAGCCTTGGAATTGAAACCAACTTCCTGTTTTGTTTTTTTTTTTTTTTTTTTTCTCTGAAACTGGAGTGGCTTTCTGAAAAGGGAAGAAGCAACCCTATTGTACTTTCAGAAGCTTTTAAACAAAGATCTGACAATCAATTAAAAACAAGCCATACTTTAAAATGTCTTCCCTTGTGTAAAGGTTCAGTGTCTCTCTCCTTTCCTTGACACTTCACCAGAATGACAATTCCTGGAGCCTAGATTAAAACAAACAGAAATAGGAGTCATCCTGGATGAGGGAGATTCTAAGGTGTTTGGGAAATCCAAAGTGATTCAGGCAACAGAAAAATTAATTAAGGAAAAAAAAAATAAAAGAGGAAATGCACTCATGGTTGTAACCTCCCGGCTTTATTTGTAGGAAAATAAATGATTAGTATAGATGCAATAATTAATTTATTCCATCATTATTTTACCCCACTTGGCACCTATTATAAGTCTTTTAAATATATTTTTTTTTTTCCAGGAGTAATGGCTCATCTAATGTTAAACACTGGAAGAAGGAGAGGCAGGACTTTGAAAGAGCTCAAAGTTGATGAAGGAAAGGGAGGTTTCATGGAATCAGCTGACTCGGAGTTAGCTATCAAGACGCCACATCTTTCTGCGCGGTGTTAGACTCCAGGAGGCCAGGCTGCTTTGCACAACATTCTGAGGCTGGTACTCGTCTCTCCACGGCCAGGCGCCAGGCCCGCTTCCTTTCTCCAGTAGCCCGGGCTATTTGCGGAGCGCGGAGGAACCTCCCCGCACGTGAAGGCGCCGCCAGCTCACCTGCGCCTCGCGGCTCCCGCCCCACGTGGCCCCCTCCGCCCCGCCCGCTGCCCCGCCCCGGCCCGGTCATTGGCTGCCGCTCTGAGAGGAGGAGAAGGGGCGGCCGCGGGGGTCTCATTAGCGATGCGGACTCCCAGCTCCGCTCTGTAGTCCGGAGTCCGGTAGCCGAGCTGCGAGCCGCGCGGCGCTCACGGCGGGTGACTCCGGCAGCGGCAGTGGCGGCTGCGGTCGCCTCGCCGTGGGAAGCTACGGGGGTGCGCGTTTCCTCTGAATGTCCATTCAGCGGCGGCTCGGAGCGCGCTGCCCCGCTGCCGTAGGGACCGGCGTTGGAGCAGTCACTCGCCAAAGACCCTCGGGACCCACTCATTTCGGCCCCTGCATCGTAGTGCCTTTCCCCGACTCCAGAGGCGTGGAAGAGGAGCTGTACCCCCGGCGGGGCGAGGAACATGGGGAGAGCGTCGGCCGCAGTCGGCGGTGGAGGGGCGCGCCGGTGGCTTTCTTGGCTGGGGCTCTGCTTCTGGGCAGCAGGGGCTGCGGCTGCCCGAGGTAAGCGCTGGGCAGAGCGGGTGGCTGGGGCAGAGTGGGAAGGAGGTCAGAAGACTGAGCGGGACCTGCACCTATGGCGTTGGCTTCCTAAGTTGCGCCTTGCACCTCTCCGCGCTCGGAGCCCGACTGGGTGGGAGTCTGGGGGAGAACCTCCAAAGGGACCACCGCTTTCCAACCCAAGTTTGCTATTTGCAATCCTACAGGTTGCTGTGACCCGAGCCCCTACCTTTTACTCATCGCCTGCTCAATTTTCCAAATCCTTCCCAATTGCTGCAGGCTGGAGTAGCCCTATCTTCACTCCGTTCTCTCTCTCCTTGGTCCTCTCCGCTTCCTTCCTAGGCGAGATCATTCATGGGTGGGTGCCCACAGTGATGTCCGAGACTTCCTACCGAAAGGAGCCTGGTGGGTGGGCTCCAATATTGATGACGCCTTTTCCCTTCTGAGAAAAACATCCAAGCTTTAGTCGCCTCATTCTGCGCCAAGCTTGTTACCCCTCGGACCCCCCTAACCCTGGATCTTAGCCAGCTCTGGGTTTTCCTTCACGGAGGCCGCATGTGTGCAGGAGCTGGGGAGAGTAGTGTGCACCCTCCCGGTTTAACTATGTCTGCAGTACCCAGCGAGGATAAGCAGTTGGCCAGAGGCTGCTCACCCTGTGCCTCCTCTCCCTAACCCGTGCTTACTCCAGCTAGGAAGCGCGGGCCCCACAGAGCAACGCGGAGACCTCAGCTTTTTTCCGACTTAGAAGCGTAGACCCAGTTTTTTTCCCCCTGAATCCTCTGCACTTCTGCAGAGTGAAATTTTGCAACTGGTTTCAGTTCCACCTTGAGCGAGGACAGGAAGCATCAACTTAAAGATAAATCTCAGGGACCTGCTTTGAAGATGACCATGGGCCATTTCATACACAGCCTCAGTAGTGTGACTTTACCTTTGAAATAATCCGGAAGCCTCTCTTTTCTGCCCTTCTTTACCTGTCTCCTTCCCTGCATGCTATCCAGTAGGTTTAGAATATGTAACTGCATTAAATGATTTACTTAACGCTTGTCTGGCAAGAGGTTGAACTGAGCTAACCGCCTCACCTTCTGCTATGCTGTCTCCTGATCATATATTAATAGCCAGGAGGCCGCGGGAAGGGGTGAGGATGATCACAAAAAGAACCAGGATCATCTCATTTTTATGAAAGCTAACGGTGTGTTAAAAGCAGCTGTACTGTTTGGAAAGAAGAATTTTTTAAAAAGTGGATAGAGGTTTTCCGTTTTATGATCCTGTTCTGTGTGTATTTGCATTTCATTTCCTGAAAAGTTGTTGTTGTTGTTTTTAGTGGAGTAGGCTTTTTAAAAGGCAGGAAAGGTTTAAAAATGAGCCTCACTGATTCCACACACTTGGTTATGGTGAGGCATATTTCTTTCTCTTTCTGGAAGAAGCACAAGCTTCAGTCGTGTAATTTACTATGGAGAATGAGAAGATGTTTCTTGCAAAGTCAGCTCTGAATTGTTTTTAATACACTGGTATGGGGGAGAGTGTGCCTTTTATTTTTTCTCCCTAAATGTTGAGCTAAATGTCCGAGTTTCTATCTAGCCATGACTGACTCCTGGTATTTACCCTTGGAATTTGCTTGGTGGACTTTTCTTAAAGCCAGCTCCAAACAAGAGGTGGGGACATGCCAAAAGCCTCTTGGATGGAGTTTTGCTGGCTGTGAAACTAAGGCTAGCACCTCTTGTCTGCAAGCTGTTCTTTAAAGGTCTCCTGGAAAACATACTGTACACTCTGCAGGCTTATTTACAACAAATGTCTTGCACAGATCATAGTAATGTTCAAGACACATGGAATGGAGCAGTAAATCTGACTAATATTTCCCTTGTCAAATTTTACTTTCTGGGGCATGGAAGCCTATTACCTTTAGCAGCTGTCAGATTCTTCAAGAAATGAACATTAAACAGGCTGTGAAACCTGTGAAACCACATGCACCTGGCTTTAGACAGGTGGATGCAATTGAAGTTTTCACAACAAAGGATGTGTTCCAATGTTACTGAAGTTCCCCCATCCTAGGAAGGTGTGATTCATTAAAAGCAAGATGTGGTGCAATAGTGTGGTATCTTTGCTTAGTAGTCTCAACGTTTTGTGTAGGGTTGGTCCTTGATGATTTTTATTTATTCAAGTAAATAGTTTTTTGTTCTCTAGAAATTTCTTTCCCCCCGCAATGCTAGGGATCCAACCCAGAACTTTGCACATACTCGGCAAGCCCTCTACCACTGAGCTATACCCCCAGCCCCTCAAAGACTGTTCTTAGTGATTTGATCCTGGATATACTCAACATCCACAAACCAACAGGATTTATAAGATTATGACATTTTGCTTTGATGGCATGAAAAAATTTAATAATTCAGTATATTTTATTTACAGTAATCATGGAAACAGATAAGTATTGTACCAGCTCACATTTAAATTTTTTTTTCCTTCATATTTACAGTAAAACCTGAAAATCAGTGGGAGATTTCACATAATTGGCTTTGAACATGCTCAAAAAGAAAGATACTTGGGATCAGGGACTGAGTGTGGAAAGTAGTGGTCCAAAGAGTACTACTGTTTTCCACCTTAGTGAGCAATACTTCCCTCTAGAGAGTTTTATTCTGCCTGTCGGCAAGTTGTAAGGAAAGCACTTTGGTGCCATGATTACTGTTATGTTTGAACACTTTTTATCTTAAAAGACGGTTGTTTAAAGTTCTTCGTGACCTGCCAAGTGCTAATTGAATCTATCATGTTGTCATACTGATTTGTTTTTATTCTTGAGGGAAAAAAGCATTGCTGTTGATCTGGTTGTGATTCCTACATTAGATACTGTATATAAAGACTTTAGTCACTAAAGGCAGGGAGGAAGATACCCTTGGCAAGCTGGGCGTTCACATGATTCCGAGCTTTAAAAAATTTCCTGGACAATGAAATCCTCCTTGTGCGTGATTGCTGGAGTAATGCATTAATGGCAAAGGAAGTACATACTTATTTTATAGGCATAATAGAGTCATATGACTTATACATACTTAAATCCACTTATCTATCTGGTTTCTACAATTTTAAAACTATTGCCATTTCCTCCTTAATGATTTTTAATAGCGTCCCTTTTTCTCCCTTATCTGTTCCTTTTCCTCAAGAATGTGTTCCTTCATAACACTATGTAAAGGGAGCCTTTTGGTCCAGTTTCCTCCCGGACTTGTCTTTTTCTAATTTTTGGATTGTCCCATGAACTTGAGAAGCCTATGGCACCTTCTTTGCCTGCCCCATGAAGTGTTCTGCTCAGGCGATCTCTTAAGCATCTCAGTTTTTAAGAGGAGATGAACCTTTTTCGTGAGGCACTGAAATGACAGCTCTTGTAATACTTTACAGACTTGCTCACTCTTTGAAAGACCCATCTGTGGTGCTTCAAGTAATACCGTAAAGGACTCGAAAGCCTAAGGAACCCAACAAGTCCTCCCTGCACTCTCAGGCCTCTGATTCTGTCAGTATATCTAGACCAGACTGTCTTATTAATTAGGAAGAGCAGTTTTTTGTTTGTTGCTTCAATGATTAGTAAACTTGTGTTTTATTTTCTTCCAAATGTAGTAGAAGACACAACTAATGTTAAGAGGTTTATGAAGGGTTTAGTTTCTTGGGAGATAGTGCCTATTTGATATTCTTCCTTTTTGCTTTTTTTTTTTTTTTTTTTTTTAAATATTTAGGGTAGAGATCTAGGCAACATGTATTTAAGTCAAATTCAAAGCCAGTTATCCAGAGAATAATTCCATGTACACTTTAAGGAAGTGGTGGTGGATTGGGGTGTCCTCTCAATGGAAAGAAATGTACATGTTCACTGAGCACCCTATTATGCCCTCCCTCTTGATTACTCCTTTGCCATTAATCCTGATTGTTCCTTACTCCATGCAGTGCCACTTGATCAGCAGTGTCATTATCTTCTCCTTTTTTGATGCTTTCATGAATTAACAGCCCAACAGGGTAACCAATAGAAACTTTCCCCATGTTCTTCTAAGTCAGGATCTAGGTAAAGATATTGTTCACCCCTTCATTTTCTAAATGGCCATGGTTGGCCTAATATAACTATTATCGTATTGCTACCACTCTTTATTTCATGTATGTTCCTTAAAATAAGGCATTTTGCAGCTTTATTTGAATATGAAATAATAATATTGTATTTAGTTAACACCATTCATTGTTCTAAATGCTTTACACACATCAACTCATTTAACCTGTAAGATGAGGTAGGTACTATTTTCTTTATTTATAAGATAGGAAAAGAGGGGCAAAGAGGGTTTAAATACTGCCCAAGGCCATGCAGTGAGCAAATGGTAGAGTCTGAACTTGACTTAATCAGTCTGATTCCAGAGTCCATAACAAAAGATGGTTTTCTAAACTGTTGAAAATAAGCAGACCCTTATATTTTGATGACAAAAGTACTAAAATGGTATCTTTATAACCTTCAAGAAATATAGAGGAATTTAGAGTAGCTTAAATACATCTGTAAATATATTCAGATAAATCTAAGAGATTTGTGTTGTATGAAAACAACCACCCTCTCACCATTCAGCTTAGTACACTTCGGGATTGGATTCACACTTAAAATGCTGAATGCCAGTTTCTAATATGATAGCTTGCTTTTTTTTTTTTTCAGTTTTGAATTTCAACAGAAAATATTACTCTGAATACTCCATCCATGGAATGGCAGATCCCAAGAGACTATTTGTTGCATGTCTTGTATTTTTAGCCTTGTTTGCCGGGGAAATGTGGAGCATGAGATTTGAGAATAGATTGTTAACACCAGAGGCTGCTGTTTCTGCTGTTTTGGGTCCTCCTGCTGCTGCTTTTGCAAGGCAGATGGCTAGATTCATTTATAGAAAATAGATATTCGTTCTATTTTGCATTTTCACTTTGAAAAGAACTTTTAATTGTTTGTGCCACATTGCATCGTATGGCCTTATTGTGTGCATACACATGTGGTGCGTAGATAATTTTCA